GGTCAAATTCAGGACCGGGGACATAGGCCTTCGAGAACGTCGACGAAGACATAGCACGGTAGACGACGAAGATGACGAGTTCAACTGTGATTGCGGCTTCGAATGCGAAGACCGTGTTCATGTGGTTGCGGATTGTCCGTTGTACAAGGAGAGGGAAGTGTACGTGACTGAGCTGGGAAAAATATATGGGACGTACAGGGAGATGTTTGAGGCATGGAATAGAGAGGAAAGGACGGTAGCTGTAGTGGGGCATAGGAGGTGGGTTGAAAAGGCGGGAAGGGATATCGTTAGGATAGACAGACTAGGAAAGACATTTTTGAGCCACCTTTGGCAAAGTTGAAAGGCGATTGGCCATCGGTAATCGGTCCGGTGGGAACAATGCTCCGTTCTCTCGAGGACGCGTGGTCAATGGTCTAACCGCTAAGGCATGCAAACCATAGGAGTACGCCCATCTCCGGTTCCGTCGATCAACGGGCTCGCGGAAGACAAGACAAAACGTTCACTATATTCCCTTGTCGGGAATCGATCCCGTGAAGCGAAGCTGCTGGAGACCACGTGCACAGCAGTCCTGCGTTCAAGCGTTGGCGTGGTTTTGCTCGAAAGCTGTTTTGCTCGACGAGTATTGCATAATGCCCTTTGTCTGTGTTGTTACTGCTTTTTCCCGGAGCAAATGTCGCCCATCCTTTCTTGTTTTTTTCCAGAGGCACAAGATAAAGATTTTTTCTCGCCTCCGCGGTAAATGCGTAGCACCATGTCACAGGACGCCGCACCACCATCTAGGCGGTCAGCCTACCCACACTCCCATATGGTGTTGTTTCTACGCTACCCACGCAATTGCTGTGTTGTTTCCACGACCCACCCCTTCCCGTCCCTCATTGCGCCGCCGTTGACTGCCACGCGTCATTTAACAGATCGAAATCTCAGAAGACGACGCGCAAAAGATGGTCACTGTTAAGGATGCAGTGGACTACATCTCCGCAAACGTGTAACTTCTTTGATAGTTTGGTTTGCGGTAGTTTGTGTTCGGTTTGAAGGGTGGGAGTGCACGCAGAAGGACGGGGCGGGCGGGGGGCGTGGCATCATAAAAGGGCGTTGCGCGTCCTTTGCCGCGCCATGAGTAGGCAAGGGGGGCCGGCTGCTGTTCGCATAGCGAGCAAGGTACGTACGTGCGTGTTAACGCTGAGGTGTTTCTGTGCGTGTTCTCTCTCTTCTCTTTATTTCACTCTCCCCTGTCCCATCCCTTGCCAGCAGCTCGTTTTGACATGCGGAGTTCACCTTGTACGGGGCGCGTTGTAGGGGAAGGAAAAAGATGAATTCCCTGTGCGTTCTGTCTTTGTTTTTGCGCTGATTGTTGATCATTTTGAGGCCGCTCTACGTGAGCGTCTGCGAGCATCGAGCTTGTATAGTTTGACCTTACATAACGCCTCTTTTTTTTTTGTTGTTGAGCTGTTGGGCGGAGTACTGGGAAAAGGTGGCAGCAGTTTTCCAAGCGATTCGCGTGGTGGACATGATCCTCCCCTGGTTGTCCCTTAGACAGAGAAGGAGTGAACGAAAATGTCCACATTGGAAAGCATTTGCCCCGTCTGGCTGATGGGAAACCCTTGCTTACACGATGCTCGATCTCCACCAATAAGCGCGGACGGTGTGGGGCGGGGGGGGGCGGCTCGCATCACGCCCCTGCCGCCGGCGTGACGGTGGTCGTCGGCGTGGTGATCTGTTTGCCAAAATTCTGTGATTTGGCCTCGAGAGAAAACGACGAAGGAACGAGCGTTCGTTGTTCCTGACGCCCTCAGGCGCCCGACTTCCATCGCCGTTTAGCGAAGATGTTGTTGCTGTTGTTGCGACTTGTCTTTGTCGCCGTTCGAGTTTATTGGTCAAGGCCAACGATGTGTAGGTTTTCTGACCTGGCTCTCATCCCTGCCTCCAGTACGTACGTGCTTGGTTCTCTGGAAGATGGGAGTATTTCGGACAAGGCATGCTGGGCTAGGCTTTCATGACGAGGAGGTTATTCAGTTCATGTGAATCATGCCTTCCGCGCCCTACCTCCGGAGTATGCGAAAGTCGCCGTGCGCAGTATTTTTGTATGTATGTGAGACTACCGTGTATCGGCAGACGGAGGATACGAACGAAAATATACACACAGATTGATGCAGCGTGCTGCTAAGTGTCGCGCTCGGTGTTCACGCCTACGAATTGATTTGTTTTCATTCGTCTCTGGATGTTCCGTCATGAGCATTCAACGCATGGTGCTGGACGCTTGCGTTGCAGTATGCAGGTCACGGATCCTGTCAGGGTTATAGCGCCGTTCGAAACCGTCATCCCTTCAACGTGCGGTTGCGGTCGATGATGTAGACTAGACTAAAAATATAATAAATATTACAGCAGTAGCAGGGCTTTCCTTGCAGTTCTTCCTGTGAATGGCTATACAGAGTAGCGCGTTGGATCCAAAATAAAGGCGTCTGTCTGTCTGACCAACGCGCGTTACCGCCGTTCGTTGGCAAGAATTCCGAGGACGGCCGGCCTTGCTATATAATGGATCTTTGGCAAACACCAAGGCAATATAGCAGGTTGGAGCCGTCGGTCGTGGTTGGAGTAGTGAAGCCACACGATCAGTTCATTTATGGTCTTCTATGAACGCCAAGAAATTGACACGATTCGGGTAATTGTGCTGCATGTAGTGATATTTTAGCATGCGTAATAATACTGCCGTGTGCCTAGTCTATTTAATCAGTTAATCAATCACATAGACAAGGGTATACTATTTGTCTAGAGTAATTTCTTTGCGCTTTTTTTCCCTTTCGTCAAGCGTTGTGGCTTGATGAGGGTGCTCTTCAGAGACGGACGAAGACGAGAAAACCATACCCCGTATCGTCCAGGAGGACGACAACACCCATCGCAACCTACCCACAGCCAAGCTACCGGCAACACGGTGGTACGGTTTATCTTGGGTCAATCTATGGTTGGTGGGTCTACTAGAAATATATGGACTATGTACAACGACGAACGAACTTTAGGATGTGCGTTTACAACACATAACATGGATGGTTCTTATTTTCGTTTTGTATGGACGGAGGGGAGGTACGCTGCAAACATCTCTTGTTGTGTTGAATATTTTCTTTCCTTTTTTTTCCTGAAAACTTGTATACAGTCTATAGGTTTTGGGAGTGTGTGATGACGTCTTTGGTTTTGTAGAGAGACGCGGCAGAGATGGCGCGGATAACCCGGGTGCCTTAATTGTGTGCCTGCATCGTGGAAGACCCCTTCAATGTGGAACGATTCCTAGTTAATCAGTGTCGATGTTTACACCGCTGCGTCTAGCACAGATGATCGGGATGGATTTGGGTGATAATCAATTAATTGCAATGATGGCTTTGGTTGTTTGTTGCTCTTCATTGTATGTCCACGGACGTATTCTGACAGCATTGCATACAGCAGTTGCATGCCCCGAGCTTGTGTACCATGCACCATGGTGTTAGTATTGCAGACAGCACTTCAATCAGCAGTACGCTGTAGTATGGTCGACAAACTTAAAGTGCGGGACAACAAGGGGGGGTGATGCTGCTGCTGTATAGTCGAATTGTAGTGTGTGAGCATGTTGTTCAGTTGTGAGCACGCAAACGTGCCGCAGTGATTGTAGGTGTACCTCCTCGGTCGGGCTTATGTACCCTTTTCTTGCTAATAGTGTGCGTGTTCTTTAGATCTTCTGATGGCTCTAGCATATTTGTGACCACGGACCGAGTCTCTGCTAGATTTTTGGGATTAGCAACTGACACGAGTTTAATGTAAAGAAAACAACAACATTTATTCTAGTCTATTCTTGCTACGTGTGCGTGTTCTTTAGATCCTCAGATGGCTCTAGCACTTTCGTGACCACGGGCCGAGAGTCTTTGCTAGATTTTGGCATTTAGCAACTGGCATACGGTTTAATGTGAAGTCAACAACAACAACAACATTATGTATGCATCGTATGCCATGCACAACAAGCAGCCTTTTTCCGTTCGGATTCTGGTTTGTTGTTCGCACTGTGAACTTCTTCTCCGTTGCTGTGCCCAACTAACTAACTCCTGAATGGTTTGTCGAGTTCCATACTCGGTATTATGCCACAAGTTATACATGCATGCACCGCTCACATGTTACAGCCGCCCACAACCTATTCCCAAAGTTACGAAGATGTAACGGTTGTAATTATTCCACAATGCGCGGTACGTAATTTACGCCGTTTGTTTTCGAACATGATGGCCATCGTAGATTGCATATAATAGTGTGTTTGATGGCAACTAGGTGGTGGTGTGTGTGCATCAGTTTTTAGTTTCCTGTGCCATAACACTATTCTATAGATGAAATCGCGAGATTCGGAAAACGGAAGACCAATATTCCGCAGCACGGGCTGCCGTTCAGGAACATTTTCTTTCATTGGCCGAGGGCTGGCTCTGTAGTATACATAACGCGAAACTCTCGCCCGTGTCTACATGCAGCCTGTCGTTTCTTCTCCGACATGGTCTCGCGGCGGAAGCTACTCGGAACTACGGGTCAGCTGCCCAATGTTGCGTGCCACAGCCACCAGACTGTCCATTGTGTTCCAGGGTCCACACTGCCGATAGACGGATGGGGTCATTCCCTGGGCGCCAAAACACGAACACTATTACGCCCATGTGCAATCTGCAGGATCCAGCCCCCCAGATCAACAGGTACGCAAAATCGGATCTATTCCCGGACCGGGCCTGGCCAATGACAGGACCAAGTTTGATGGATCGGGTCATCTTGTAGACGAAAAGGAACAAATCGAGCATGGGTCCCGCCGCTCCGTTTACCGGTCAGCCAAGGGCATACCATAGATTTCTGAATTTTTTGAATTTGGCGCTGACAGACCGCAAAAAGGGAACGGGGCTGGACCACTCCTTCCACCAGAGTTTCCACCTCTTTGGATGTTCCCCCTGAAAACGCACACCACGCCAGCAGCTATCATTATTGGCCTCTTTCCTCCTCGCATCACTGCTCTCATCTTCCGTCCTTCCGGCAAAAGTCGCACCACCACTCACCACCTTCAGGCGCGCGTCCGTTGGACAAACACGTTGTACTCCGCAGGTAGCTGTCTTCGACCAACAAAGCAGCAACAACGAGCCTCCAGCTGAACGACAACGTCAACAACAACCTGTTGCAACTGCTGCTGCTGTGTCATACATCCCGACGAAACCATGAGCACTGAGCAGCAGCCGCCACGGGGCCTCGACGACTTCTGGCAAGAACCTTGGGCCCAGGACACCTGGGTGTCGACGATCAGCCAGAACCCGGCAGCCCAAGGCCTTCAGCCGTCCGGTTGGATGTACACAAGTGAGTTTTGTAGTTGCACCAACCAGTAGAGGCAGCAGAACAGCCCGATCCCTTGCTCTCAGCGAAGACTTTGAGTTAGGTAGAAACGCGGGAGCTGGTGCTGTTTGCCCGAAAAACGCGCAGATCATTCCAGAACTGCTAGCTTGCGCCACGTATGTACAGATGTAGGATGGCAGGAGAGAACCACGCGCCACCCACAGAGTTGCAAGCCGCGTGCGGCAGGGGAGAAGTGCACGAGAACTTCCTCGAAATAGAACGCTTTGGTCAACAACACATTCATGCGCTCGGTTGCACTCGGAGTAGCCGGTGTGGGCAAACAGCAACAGGCCTGCGAAGGCCGCGGCAAGTTGTAAAACCCCATTTTGCCCGTTCACCAACACTGCGGACCAAGAGGGAATGGCTGCGATGGACGGGGTTCTTACGTGGCAGGAGAGTCCACCTGCCCCTTCGCTGTATTATCAGTCGTTCGGCGGCGTGCAGGTAGCAGTATGATATTTATCTTCTTTGTCATTCGTTTCACGCCGCAGCAACATCTGTCTCCGATGTGCGGTCGCATCGGTGGAACCTACCGGCAGCTAACCGGCAAAATGCAAATGTGTCGGCACCCCATGTCATTATTTGTCGTCGCCTCTTTTCGTCGAAGCTTTGGAAGCGTTGTTTCACGTTCGTTCGTAAAATTTTATGGAGGAATCATAGTACAGCAGTGGTTGCAATTTGGTAGTCCAGAGGGATTACATATCGGAGACGGGGATAGACAGGAAGAGAGAGAGCGTTTATGCAACCTAAAACTCAAACTCAAATCAGGCACGGTTTCCAGTGTACCACTGTATCCTCGACCCGCTCTACAGCGAGCACTTGCCCAGCAACCAAAGGGCTCTTGTCTTTCATTTCCAATCAATCGCGCGCACACAGACACGTGTGCATCCATCCGTGCTACAGTTCATTGCTGCCCAATGGTCGGGTATCCACTTGCAGTACAAGTAGGCATACAAAAAACATCAAACTAAAATCTGCTTCATGCCGGCAATACACGTGTTAAACCCTCCGCAAACGGACCACGTGTCGACGCGAAGGTCAAAGTATAACTAAGGGCCTATAACTAACCCCAAGTCTAACCAACACCCCTGCTGCTCCTCGGCCCCTCGTTGACATAAAGGTCACCCAGGAAAGCAAGACAGCTTGGACTTCGACTTGGGCTCTAGCTTCTCCCAGGCATCCAGCGAGGACCCCCCGTCCCCCGGCTCACCCCCCGTCAACCACGGGCAATGGAACAGAGGCAGCACCGCGAGCAGCTGCGGCGGCATCAGCGTCAGTGGCGGCGCAGGCCACCAGCCCATCGAGCAACACCATCATCACTACCACCACCACCACCATGCCCCGATAGCGAGTCCCGCATCCCTTTCGTCCACGCTACCGATGACACCCCCCCCCGGGCTCGCCCACGAGCGAGTCGTCTACCCCGCTGCTGCCGCCGCTGCTGCCAGCGGCGGCGGCGGCGGCGGCGTTCCTCACCCCCACGCTCACGGTCAGTCACTCCTCGCCACAATGGGGGCCCGGTCAGGTACGAGCCGATCGTCAAGTGTCGAGTCTGACACTTCGCCCGCCCTGAGCCTCTACGGGGGGGCTGGCGGCGGCGGCGGGGTCGGCGGCGGAGGCGGGCCTTGCGCTTTCCAGATCTCGGGCTACCGCACGTTGGAGCTGCTCCCCACGGCGCAGCAACGGCAGACGCTGCAGAAGGTGCGGTGGGCGTTGTTTTCCTCGAGTTGTCGTTCGTGCCCACGACAAAAGAGAGTGTTGTCTTGGTTTGAAGCCTGAAGTGGGACTACTGAGTACGCCATGGCGATTTTTTGAGCTACTGAACGGCAGGGCGAACGCGCCCACCTCATTCAATGGTAGCTGTATGTCGGAATGTACGTCCTTTGTTGTCGCGTCGACTTGTTTGGTGTTCAGGGTTCGATAGTGGGCCTTCACGATCACCGCCGACACCCTCCGCGTGTTAGGGGTTTCGAGGGTTTGTGTGATCGGTTTGTTCTGTGTTGGAATAACAGTGCCCTCGAATCGTTGGCACGCTTAAATTTCTCACGTCTCCTCCCGCAAGAGCAGCCGTGGTCCGCGGCACGAACTCGATGAGTCATACTCCGATAACACCAACATTGCGACACTAGGAAAACCAACCCTTCTGCGGCAAAGTGTAGACGCTGCCTGTACTTGTGACTTACGACCTCGGCTGAGTAAAGCGCTCGTGCAACATCCACCGGCCGCGCCGCACCAGCAACG